AGGAATAGGTACCTGGGGGCCAGTGGCAGCCTGCACCCTGCAACATCTCCACAGACCTTGCAATGGGCAATACTCCCCAGCTGACATAGGGGCAGTTTCAGAAGACAGCCCCAGGCATCCATAGACCAAAGCAAGCACACTTACATAGCTGCTTCTTGGAGTTCTAACATGCAACCATTTCTGGAGAATGGACAAAAGCCTATGAGGACTGATGTTTCATTCTAGCAGCAACAAGCACAAAATCATCATCTGAAATGAGGGAGAAATGAGTTGGGTCTTGATACAAAGCCTTTACTTCTACTTTATTGAGAACAAGCTGCTTCATGGAAAACAAATGGAGGAACAGTGTGACATCCTTGAGAAATCTCTTTAAAAGATGACAAACTCTAATTTGAGAAGTTTTCTTCAACATTAAGTTGTCTTTTTTGAAACTTCTTTCCCCTGTCAGACCATGAGAATATTTCAATCATCGCATAACATTATTTCAATTCAATTCAAATACAGATCTGAAAGTTCAAGTATGAAATTACATACTTGGCCTTTTCAGAATAATTAATCCAAATGAATAGAATAACATACTGGCTTCCACTGAAGAACATTTTTGTGCTAGCAAGAATGGTTAATTAGAAACATGTTTCACATTCACTATGAATAATAATATTCCCAGAGCAAATATTCTCAGCAAACTTAAGGAAACAGCTGATCCTTGGCTCTTCAATCCAGCCATTTATTTTAAGATTTTAGCAAGAGTGAAGGAGCTATACTGCTGGGAATTGTCAAGCAGTCCCTGCACCATGTGCTCTGCCTGCCTGCCCAATGCCCCCAGCTCCAGCCAGTCCTCTGACACGACCTGACAACAGAAAAGGCATGTAAACCTGTCTAATCAGTCCCAGCTGCAGGGCTGCCTTGCATGTACTGTCATCTCTGCAGCACCTTCCTGTTGTCTCCAGCAAGCCATTAGTCCCAGCCCAACGACCAAGGGGCTGAGGCTCTGGGCTGTGCTGCACCATCTTGCAGGTGTTTGGTTTGGAGATGTCTCTTAGGGACCATCCCCTGCAGTGGGACACTGCCCCATGCCACAGTGCTGGGGAGAGCTCTGCCCCACAAGATCCACCTGGGAGCTGTGAGGACCCCATGGAAAAGGGACGAGAAGAGAGGAGACTATGGGGATAGGAAAGGTCACTTTCAGATCAGCTGGAGCTGCTGTGGAGGCAGCTCCAACTTAAATCAAGAGATTTTTGTTTTAATACAACAGTGACTGTGAAAGCAGCACTACAAGCCAACACACAGGGACACCCAAGTGGTTATTTCTGCTCAGTACTTACCTCCTTGCCTGCAGACCCAGCAAGTCAGAGCCAGCTGCATTTCAGAGCAAGCAGGTCTAGTCTTCATGCAGAGAAGCAGAAGTGTCCTATATAGAAGGGGTAGTGTACACAGTAGTATGTTGCTGCTCCCCAAGACATGAGTTTGCCAGTGACTTCCCCAACAAGGGCTGCCCTTGGATCTCCCAGGGAAGCAGAGGGATAGGGAAAAAGCCCCTCAGAGCCTGCAGACACAGGTGGGCTCCAACCCAGGGGGTCTCAGCCATGTCCCCATGCAGCTCTCCCATCACCATGGGGAAGGGCCTTCACATCACAGCATCTTCCCACCACCTAGCTCAAACATGCCATGGGGCTGGCCCCTCCAAGGCAATCTGGCTGCTGCCTCCCACAAGTGACAGCTGCATGGAGGACATCTGCTTTTCATTCCCAAAAAACACACACTGCGCATATCAGAGGTAAAAGATTTTATTATTCCATGGATTTTTCATAAGAAGAGTCCCACCAGACAAAATATACAAAGCATCTTATATTTTCTCTCTAGACAACTGCATTCTCATCCTATGGAACAGTCACCATGTTAGCTCACCTCAAAGAACCAAGGTTTGTCCTTACAGCTGTGGGATTGCACAGAGTTAGCATATTCAATGACCAGTTAATTCATGCAGAATCAGAAGGAAGGGGGGAAAAGGTGTGTGTGTTCACCTGAGTGCAGGTTTAGGTTCCTAGAAATTAAGAGAAACATGGGGCTTAAATTTACCAGATTGTGGTACTTCCATTAAGCTCATCAGTGATCTGACCCTTCTTGTCATCCACTCCATAATGAAAGGCTAGGGCTAGTAGCAAGTTAAAACTTAATGTTTATAGTTGACTCTGTTTATAAAAAAAAAATATAAAAATCCATTTTCAGCCTCTAAGGACATACTAATTGCTATTGCATTACATGACCATTTTGAGATCCTGTTTTGTTTTCACATCATTAACTCATACCATTATTACTTAAAAGTTTTATTCTAAAACATATTCAATTATTTTTTGGTTCTGCTGAGTTAATGATTGTTCTTACATTTACTTTATCCTCCCTATTCTAAAACAACAAGCTCATTTCAACAGATGGTGAACAAGTTCAGATTTGCTGGAAACCAATTAACAACAATGTGCCAAGTTGAAACTCACCCCATTCTTTCAAGCCAAAAAACTGCCCGTATTTCAAGAATGTAATTAGTTTTAACTATATTTACGGAACAGAGGGAAGAATATTTAATCACTCTGCAATTCTTCTCTCTGATGATCAATAGAAATACATTTTTGTTCACACGATTTCTCTGCAATGTATGGATCAGCTGAATCTTGCCTTGTATCAATATCTGTACTACAACAGTGCTTGAAGGTAATTTGATACATGGCTGGGCTACAGTAATTTGCTCTCAAAACACCTTTCATCAGAGGAGTTACACAAGAATCCCCCCACTCTCCCTTCTCTGTTAAAAAAAATAAAATTCTTCTTCAGCATTTGCCAGTAACTACCAGTTCTGCTGCTGACACCACCTCGTACGTAGGCAGGGCCCCCTATCTGCGCACAGATGGGATCTCAGTGACTCCGGAAGAAAGACCTGTGTGAACATAACTCATTTTCCCAGGCAAGCAGAACTGGCCATACTGGTGCTGTGTCACTAGTATCACTCCCAGCCCACCTCACTGCCCTTTGCCCTGGCCTTCTGCCCACCCTGGACACCCACTAGGAGACCCTGCATTGCTCCATGGGTCACGCTGAGCCCCACTGTGTTGAGGAGGAGACGTGGTGAGGGGTGAGTCTGGGAGCCACTATAAAAACAACACAGAAATCTCATCTTCGTGGGGACAGCACAAAGCAAGCTGGGACAACCACAGTATGGTTTGGGCAGGAACCCCCCCTCTGCTGAGCTTTCTGAATCAGCCTGTCTATAGCCTCACAAATGTTCTTTTCCCAACTGCATCTGGTTACATATTTCTGGTCATTATATCAACATCAAAATGGTAACCCTCCTCTTGGACATACACCTCCCGTTCTGGTGTCAAGGCAGCCTCAAAGCACTGCACCAGCCTGAAATGGCTCAGCCTGCAGAAGAGCACCTGTTTCCCAGCACTCCTATTTCTCAGCCATCCCTTCTACCCCAAAACTGCTTCTAAAAGAGATTCCAATCCGGTGGTGTGGAAGAAGCTGCATCTACTCCCAGGTTATCTTTGACCACTGTGTAAATTTAAGCCCAGGAAATGTCTCAGGTAGGTAGCAGGGAGAGGAGAGAATCCACTGTGAGGCCACAACAGACCCAAGAGGTTAGAGCTGCACAAGAAGGGCAGGGAGTAAAAAAGTAAGACAAGATCACCATGTCTAAAGAGAGGGATGAGAGCATGTGTGTGCAAGCAAAGCCAAGGAAGGTTGCATCAGGAGAGTGGCTTCATGACTTTGTGCAGATAACAGTTTCAACCACAAAAGTGTTTTCCAAGTGACGAATACGACGACAGTTTCCAGCCTCGCGTCGACTGATACCTAAAAGTGATTGAAGGAGAGGGGAAATTCAACACGTGATAATCTACAAGAGCAGGAAAGAAAAGCAGGTGGTACATAACCATTGAACACTGGAAGGCAGGAACAACAAAGAAAAGTGGCATATTCCAGTTTTTGAAAGAATATTCTATAGGCCATGGCCTTGCAGTAAGAGGTTTCATGAGCTGAGGAAGATGCTTGGGAACAGCTGGCTTCAACTGACAGCATCTCAGTAGACCAGAAAGCCCCATGAAACCAGCAGTCTCAGGATGGCACAAAGCACAGCTCTGAATGTAGCCAAGGAAGGCTTAAAATCACCACCCCTCAGGCTGTTTGTATCCCCACATGCAGTGACCCTGCTATGGCCTCAGTCTCCCTGGGAAACAAGTAATGCTCCCCATGCCCTTAAATGTAGGCCCTGAGCTCTGGGCAGCTCTGCCAGGCAGCTGCTCCCCTCTTATGGCAACCCTAGTTCCATGGGAGCAGCAGCCAGTGTGCCAGCAGCTCCTGTTGGGAAACCAGCCACAAACTACAGCCACGGGGACCTCTGCGGCCAAACACACTCAGCTTCCCCAGAGATCCAAACCCAAACTGACTGTAGCTTCCTGTTTCAGGAGAGCCTTTAAGTACACCACTATCTAAAACCAAATGAACACAAATACTGAAATCAAGGAGTTTTTTTTCTGCAACACTAGAATTTGTATGTAAGACACATATTACTGATTTTCAGGAAATCATTTTAAGGTAATCCAATGTTACCTCTTCAGAACTTTTTCTATATTATTAGGAACTTAATTAATTAAAAGCAATTTGCAAATCTAATCTGCTCTCAACAGCTGCCACCGAAGAGGGTGTCTCCATTAGGGAAACTTTCCAAACCCTTCCCAACAGCACTGCTATTAGTTCAGCCCCAGGAGCCCAGATATAATAAATGAACTGCTGGTTCCTGCAACCATTTTATCAGTGTTTCTGCTAGGGTGACAGATGACAGAAACCCAGCAGTCAGCACCTGTTTGCAGCAGCATCGTCCCAGATTTGGGTTTGGATTATTTAGATGGGAAACACCTCAAATGACCTCCTGTGTGCTTACACCCACAGGGAGACATCCCCTCTCGCCATGAAGGGGCCAGCATGGCTGTAGCAGCAGAAATAATGAGTGTGATGGGGGAAGCAGGTTAGGACAGCTGAGCACAGCCGAGCACAGCCAGGCTCTTACGTCTCCTGGCGCTTCTCCGCTTCAGCCTGTAGGTCTCCTTGCCGCTGCAGAGGCGGTAGATGAAGGAGCCGAGCTGCTCCATGTCACTGACATGCTCAGTCGCAATCATCTCCTCCTGAATTATGTATGTCTGAGGCAGGTATGTCCCTTTCTGAAATGACACAGTTTACACCAAAATAAAGCACAGCCAGTGCCACCATCCTCCTCAAGCCAAACTGTCTCATGTAGAGCACCAAGGCCACCCAAACTGCAGAAAATTCACTGTTTGAAGGCTCAAACTGCACTCACAAAGGTCCATGAAGGTGCTTCTCTGTCCTCGCAGTAAACTGCCCCATGCAACTAGCACAGAGCACACAAAATGGATTAGATCCAAAAATTGAATGTTCATGTAAGGGTTAAAACCAGTGTAGGATCAACCCCAGTTTTAAAGGAGGGTGTGTAGAGCTGTAACTCTGAGAGCAGAACAAACATCTGGAGAGGGATCAAGACTCAACCAAAATGCCAGGAATGTCACCGAAAATGCACAATTTGCATTTACTTCAAGAAGTAAGAAACAAAAATGCCAGCCCTGCTCAGATTCCAAGGGTTTCCTGAGTTTTCCACATTTCCTGCTTGGTCCATTCAACATGGCCACAATGATCTCCTGCCCTTAGACCCCACGTGAGCAGGGCCTAGAGATGGGATCTGCAAGCTGATCCCTGGGTGCTCAGGCCACCTCACAGCTGTATGGGCACAACTGTGCCAAGAAGCAGCTGTGTTACAAGTACAGCTTAGCCAGGGAGACCCTTCTGAGCAGACTAGATATGAACTAGGCCATGAAGCAAAGACTTCTGGTTCCTTTAGAAGAGACAAAGAAATAAAAGAACCAGCAGATCCCAGGGCCAATATAATCAAGGGGAAAACAAGCAACAACAGCACAAATTCAAATACAACCTCTTCAATTTCCACCTCAGGACTAGTTATCTCCATAGAGATGTACCCAGGAACAGGCTGTCTTAACTCAGCGCTGGCACAGCCTGATGGATCGATAGAGCTCTCCTCTAGTGCTGGAGGACCAGCCATCAGGGGAAGTTTGTACTACACTAACACACCAGTTCTGCAAGACATTCAAGTATTGATTCTCAGTGGTAGAGTGCAGGAGAGGGCATACAATACGTGCTGTCACTGGCAAAAGCTGTCCTTTTTAACACCTGGGGCTGGGACTCAAGATTTTCCGTACCTTTGACATGGAGACAGGGCTTAGAGAGACATATGCACATGATCCTGTTTCTTTGCTGTTCTAGACTTAAGTATCTGTGGCAGCTGAAGTAGTCAGGAATCATTGCACCTCCAGCGCAGGACTGTGCAACAAGCACAATACCTTCAATTCTCCACCGAGAGTTTTAAGAAAACTAGAGCACTGATCTGCAAAAGATCACCCACCATTTAACTGGGTCACCTCCAACTTCCTGCTGCTGCTCCTGGGGAGCTGTTCACTGAACCATTACAACTACAAGTAACAAAGTCTGCAGGAAGTAGCAAAGCTGCCATTCACAGGCGAAAATCAGACATGAGAGGCCTGGTAACATAGATGGTGACAGCAGGGCAAAGACCTGCATGGGGTCTGGCACAGCCATGCCCAGGCACAGCAGGGATGGCAGAGCAGGCACAGGGCATGCAGCAGCCACAGCACTAAGGAGCACCTGGGCACCAGGCTGGCTGGAGAGGAAGGGCAAAGGAGGTTCACTGATGCCCTGTGCTGCCACAGTCTGCTGGCACAAACCTCTGATGCTATTTCCTGGCCTGGAGTTTGGCCCTACAAACAGGCCTGAAGCCACTGGACATCTTCAAAACCAAACTTTCAGCTGGAAACTAGTCTCATCCATTGGAGACTTGACTGGATTCAGAGGAGCGGAAAAGATAAAAGGAGGAGCAAAGTAAAAGTCTCCAAGTCCAAGGACAAATGCAGGTCATCCAGCATGCAGACAGGAAGACTTCAGAGCAGGAGGCCAAGTCATCGGGTGATAAAGATCCCTCACAGGAAGGAGAAATCTCTCTGCCTGACAGAGGCAGCACAACCTCCTCGGGCAACCTCTTCTACCACTTCTGTCCTTGTGACAAAAAAAACCCCCCTTTTCTGAGCTCAAGACCAAGCTAAACACTTAAAAGCAATGTCTCTAAGGTGTATGTTAAAAACCTCCACAGACAGATCAGACACTTACTCCAATAATCAGAAAATTATTTAAACCCACATCTGCTTTGTGCTCTCTTTAAAAAATCAAACATGCAATACTATTTTGACTGCACTAACAAGGGATAAAAATGCAACTTCTGATAAAGAGAAAAAATAATTTTCATTGACTGCGGTTTTATATCTCTTATTTTAGAATGTGTCCAGCATCCCCAGTCTCTCAGTTTTTTTCTGTGGCTCTGCTGTCAGCTTGTGCAATCCTGCTTTTCCATTTTCCTCTGCCCCCAGGACTGGCCAATTGCCATGGTCAGAAGCTGTGGCTGATTTGGAGCAAACTGTAAATAAATGAGTGTTGTATCCCAGCAGGGTTCCCAGCACATTCACCAGGCAGTCACACTGCATGAAAATGTGAAGACAAACTGGGAGTTTGACAAAGACTGGAGATCAGGCATCTCTCAAAACACAACCTTTTGTCTCTGAGCTTAACCCCTACAAAGTTCATCACACTGCATGTAGCAGCAAGTGAGTAAAAAGAATTTAAGAAAGAGTAAAAGTTAGATTGTTGGGGCTTTTTCTTTTCTTTAATATATCCTCACATAAGGGAATAAGAGACACAGAGTCAGTGCTTTGCTCTACCTGCAAAAGACTGAGATAAATATGGACCTTTTGCAGTCTTAAAAATCCTGTTGTTTTTTTTCCTGCTGCTAAGATTAAACAGTGCTCTATTTTGAGAAGACTGTTTCCAGCCACTGCAATAGCAACAGGGACTTCTGAACTGAACAAACTTGCTGGTACTAAACCAAATCAAAACGCCTGCTGTGAGCAAAACTGCATTAGCCCAAGTCCACTCCTGCAGCCCTCAGGACAGCAGGGAAGGCAGCACCAATTTCTCCCCTCCCCACCCAAAGGGTGGAAGCTGAAGGCCTGGTGTTCTCCATGGGACACGGAGACCTCTGCAAATGGCAACTCAAAGGGGTAACCACAGCTAGAGTGAAAGGAGAGATTTTGTGTTCTGTTTTTTTCCTTGATTCCTATTATGGGTAAACACCAGAGGGGAGGAATCTGTTGCTTCTCTGTGTCACCCTGGGCAGGTTGATGATCCATCATGCCAGTGTTACTGTGCTGTCTGCAAAATGAGTTATTTCAGCAAAATCCCCTGAAGCCTTTGCCTTATGTAAAGCCTCAGCTCTGTCAGGCAAGGCTTACTTCCACAGACACAGCAGTTTTGGTTTCCCATGAGCTTCTAGCTGGCACCCAGGAGCCAACTGAAGAAAAGCATGCAAAATAAGCAGCTGTACCTTCACGTTAACCAGCAGCTCCCACAGGTTGCGAGGAGGCATCACGATAGTGGTGTTCAGCTCAATGACGTAGCACTTATCCAGCGTTATGTCATGATAAGCAGTCAGACCCTGTGTTCCAAGCACAAAAATCAACAACTGAGCCTTTTGCAATGAAATGCGGCAGTGAAGATGGGTGAAAATAGGGAATTGAGGGAAGACAGGAAACTCCTTTAAGCAAGAAATGTCTCCAAGGACCTCCTCACCAGGCAAGACAAGTGGGCCTGGGGAAGGAGGACAGCTTGGTAACAAGGTCATTATAGACATAAGTGACAACAGGGACAGCACTAGGCCATGAGCACTGTGCCAGTGCACCCTGCGCTGCACCCACAAAGGTCCCGAGAGCTCCTTACTCGCTGGAAATCGTGGATGATATCTGCTGGGTCGCTCCCTCCAAACTGGGGCACTGGGACATTGATTTGCTCATAGTTCTCCTCCAGGTAAATCTTGACATCTTCGTGCAACTCCAGCTGCCCTTTGAACGGCGAGTAGAGCGAGTCTTCGTACAGGACGCGGCAGGGAAACACGCGCTCATGGGGCAGCTGTGGGGACGAGACCCAGGTGGAGGGACAACACTCACACACCCCACTAACAACTACAGCAAACACAGGAAGAAGTGTACCCATACTGGGTAAAAACACCCTTTTCAAACACTAGAGAATACTTCAGGATCAGTCTCTTCACCATTAACCCTTCTTGACGATGGCAGTGCAAAACACCCTTGTGAAATGACAAGGTCTTCCCCTTCTTGATAGCCAGGTCCAAATGGAATAAAGGCTTCCCTGTGTCTGATTTTACAAGGGGTCATTCAGAAAAACAACATGACTGCATGTAGGCTTTTAGATTTCATAACCAAGCTGTTCACATCCCTCCATAGACATGGCTTCCAGTAACTGCATTTTTCTACATAGGGCATATAAGCTTGGGGCCAACAGAGTGTAATTTTTAAAGGCATTTGTAACTTGTATATGGCAAATGTACCACAAAGCAGCTTCACCTCACTGCAAAACAGGAGCTGCTGCTCTCCAGGGCTCCAGAAGCACAAGCTCTGAGCAAAAGAGCTAACACAGAGTAATGAAGTCTGAGCACAAAGGGACAAACAGGGACAAACTGCAGCCATTCATAGAATCATAGAATCATAGAATCTTAGGGGCTGGAAGGGACCTCGAGAGATCATCCAGTCCAACCCCCCTGCCAGAGCAGGGTCACCTAGAGTACATCAAACAGGAACTCATCCAGGTGGGTTTTGAATGTCTCCAGTGAGGGAGACTCCACAACCTCCCTGGGCAGCCTGTTCCAGTGCTCTGTCACTCTTACAGTAAAAAAATTTTTTCGGATATTCACCTTGAACCTCCTATGCTCCAATTTACACCCATTACCCCTTGTTCTATCACTGGTCATCACTGAGAAAAGCCTAACTCCATCTCCCTGACACTCACCCCTTACATATTTGTAACATAAAGGTCCCAGTAGCCTGGTCCCCAGAGCATCCCTGACCATGCTGAACGAGGTTTGCCATGGGGTTGGATCAAAGCTGCCGTTTGGTATCACAGGGGGTGACAATGGGTGGCTCCAAATAGACTAGTGGGCATTTCCCAGAGGGGCTCAGCATGCTCCAAGGGTAGGTCATTGACCAGTGGTGGTTGGAATACTGTCCATAACCTGGCCTATAACCTTCCCTCAGCATCTGCGGCTTCTTCTCCTAAGTGTGTACACCAAAAGCCTGGTGAGAGGGTCCCACCACAGTAACAGCAGTGTGTGTGAGGGGTGAGCAGCCCTGCAGTTGTCACAGGGTTTCCAGTTCAGATATAAATGAGCATGGCTAATTAAGCACTGATGTATCTTTAAACAAAGATTGCAAACTGATTTGACAGTAAGAAAATTTACGGAGCACGGGAGTGTATAAGAAGACTATATTGCTGAGTGGATAAGTGCTGGCCACAGATGAAGGCAGCCAGTGGTCCTGGGAGAGCTCATTCAGTAACAGCAGAATTAGGGCTTCAGCACAAATTGATGATCTGGGGTTTCTTGGCTAAACACTCAGCAAGCCACAGAGCTCAGCAGTCTCCTCCTTAAAAAGCAGCTCTGCCCCATCTCAGTACCCCTGCTCTGACCCACCACGAGGCCACTGACCTCACGCCTCAACCAGGCCAGGCTTTGCAACAAGCGCATGGAAGACAAGGTGCTGAATTTAACACAGGTCAAGGGCTCACCTTCCATACCATCTCCCACTTATTTTCGCTTCTCCACTTGCTTTATTAATAGCAGCACCTATTTTTGTTATGCCTACACAGTTTTGCTGTGCTAGGACCAGTAAAACCCACTGCAGAAGGCTGCTTTGCCTTGCCTGTTTCTCCCTGCTCTCCCCTCACAACCAGCCGTGCTTTGAACGGGCTTAGCCCTGAGAGCAGTGGTGTTGGATTTACAGAGCAGAACTGGCAGGGTATTTTTATGGAGTTAAAAAAAGAAAAAGCAAGACAAAGTTACAAGGGAGGGGAAGAGGAGGATTTCTGGAAGGCTGTTCTTGGCAGTTGGGATGGGGGTGAGTCTGAGCCTACCCCTTCAGGACAATCTCATCACCTCCTTCAAAGGCCAAATGAAGCAGCTTGTCTGGCTGCTCCAGCTGAAGAGCCAGCAGCCCTTCCCAACTCGCTCCTACCTGGGTGATGAAGAAGTATCTGTACACATACATGGATACAAAGACCAGGCCCAGGAGCAGGACGAGCAGACCCATGGTCAGGTAGCAGACCCGGCTGAGCGATGACCTCCGTCCTGGCAGCACGGCTCCCGGCTCCTCCTGCCGGATAGAATGAGAGCATCACTCAGCTGCTGCTGCAAGGGACCAGAAAAACAGCTGCATCGTGTGTGGAGGCTGAGCACAGGTCTGTGCTGTGCAGCTGGAGAGGGCAGGCACCGTCCTGTAAAGCATTCTGGCAGGAATGAAACACTGCTAGTGCATCTTCCTCTCCCACTCCCCCATATATGTATAACATGCAAATATTAAAATGTGTGTGTGCGAACATACACATATATGTGTGTATACTCTGCTTCCTACCAGCTGTTCAGTAGGTGATAAGGATTAGTCAGAGCCGGGGCGGGGGTAAGGGAAATTGGGAACTAACAGTTCCTGGCCACTGACCATAGCAGCATTTATGTATTTATACTAAAAAAAAATTGTTGAAATGCTGACACTGTTGCAGCATTTTTCAGGGGAAATTTTTGAGGTGGAAATGAGTGGTCTTAGAGAGGTATCTCCTGGCCCTGCTGGGGTGAGCCTACCCAAATGGTTGTGTTGATCACCTCAACTTTCGCTTTCAAACAGATTCCTGGACACATTCCAGGAATATTGCCAGAGCATTACAAGAAAACATCTACTGGTTTGAGACTGCTGCCCAACCTATACAGGCAGAAGCCAGCTCACCTTGTTACAGCCCTTAAAAAGGAGGGCAGTGCAAAGGCAGGGTTACCTCCTGGGTTCCACTCATCCCAGCCCACAATGCTCTTGTTTTTACTACCAAAATAACCCTCCAAAATGTTAAGCAGGAGGATGTAAGGCCTTTCAGAATAAGATGAAAGAAGCTGTTTCAGAGATGCCCCAGTTTCCACCCAGCAGAGCTGCAAATTGCCCTCAGAGGAGCAGGCAGGCAGAGGAGGTGCAGCAGAGGGGGCAGATGAACTCCCTCCCTGAGGTAGCTGGTCTGATAGGTTTGATCTGAAAGACCCTCTCTGCACTGCTAGCCAGAGACCCAAACAGAGTAGAGGAACAGATTTAAAAGCAGGCAACAGCCTCTCATTTCTGAAATGCATCACTTTTAAAAGGCAGAGATGTGTCTCCAGGGTAACAGGTATAGTGCAGGGGGAAATGTCCCCAGTTCCCTGCCACCTACACCTCTTTTCCCTTCCCTGCCACGGAGCAGTCCTTGCAAGAACAAGCAGCTCAGTCCCAGGCGTGGAGGCATCGAGTCCCTCCAGCCCAAAGACTAGAGCACCCCAGCATCCCAGGTGCACCTGTGGGCAGCCCACCAGTCGGGGGTCTTCCCCACCTCCCCAGCAGCTGAGCTCCATTGAGGTGCAAAACATGAAACCAGGGTCCTGCAACCCCTCTGCTTCACTCTCAGCTAACACTGACTGCTTCAGCTATTGACTCTTTTCTAGCCACACTCTGACAGGTAACTGCAAAGACCAAATTGCCTTGGGAGAGCTGCAATTCCAGCACACCTCCAGGAGAAATTAATCTGGTTTTATGTCTCCTTCAACCCAGCTGCTAAGATCCACAGCACCTCTAATCACTGCCAGCTCCCTACACTGAAGGACCACTGTTTAATCAGTTTGTCTCTGCTCCTCCAGCAAATAAAGGGGTGAGCAAACTGAAAAATACCACATTTTAAGTTCACTTCTAATGTTCCCCTTCCTCTCCTTCTACCCATGAGAAGCAAAAACTGTGACAAACAGCAAAGAAAAAAAAGGGGGGTGGGGGGAATGTGGAATACCACATTACTAGAGGAGGTTTAAAAGGCTCTGTGACATGAACTGATAGGATAGGAAAGTCAAACTATATGCCAAGTGTTTCATAAAAACAGATTTCCACAGACAGACCAGTGAGGGAGTGCAGACAGTGGGTGAAAAGGTATGAAAAGCTCTCCTGCTACTGACACTGAAGCACGGCTGAGAGAATGTTTACCAGTCCACACGTGAATTATGTCCAAAAGGAGCCAGGTTCCCATAATGGGTAACATGCTGCTGGCTTCCTTGGTGAGTTGCAAGTGAGCTTGAGGAGAGCGTTCAGAAGGACACAGCAATTCAAAAAGGAAAAAAAAATTACACCCACTAAAAAGAAAAACTGTTTGAAGAATAGTAGGGAGGAGTAAGTAGGCTCTCACTGGTTTGCTATTTGCTAGAGCAGCTCTATGCTCTCTGCACAGCCAAAGACACAGTGAGACATCCCACCCCTCACCACCGAAGGAGATGAGTTCAGCACACTCAAGCATTCCTG